AAGCTATGCTACCTACTTACTGGTTCATCTTTCATAGTAGTGGGAGGATGAAAATAGTTTGGGCCCCATACAAACATTCTGTACATTTTCACAGCATATGTTCCTGTATCAAATTATTCTGAACGTGATCCAAAATTATCTCCCATAGTCTCAGAACATTCAGTATTTTCGTAATTGTTGCTGTACTTTTTTCCCAAGTAATTGAATACACAGCGTTTGACTAAGTCACACAAAACAGTTCAATAGATTGTTGCTTTTACAGGGAGCTTACTTTGCATGGAAAGCAACAGCAATGGGAAAAAATTACGTCAATGGGAAAACATTCCTTGAGAAAAGGTAACGTATTTGATACTTGTCTAAAAGGATACTGTGTTTTGTTCAGATTCCACATAAAACAGCCAGATTAAAAAAAATGCACACTTTTTAGATTATCAGAATAAAGTTTTAAAATACTTAAGATGTGATGCTTCTAATTTACTTACTTACATATGCACAGGAAATTTGATTAATTTAAACTCTAACTTTTGTGTTTATGGAGAATTGTATGAGTGCAATAAACATTATATTCAACATAATTTGCAGCAATATTGTTATATACAGTGTCAGTATGAAAAGTACTGTTCTTATTTTGACAAATAATAACTTTGACTCATAATGTTACAGTGCTTACAAATAATATTTGTATGAGATTTTAGTAGTGTTTGGGTTTTTAGAGACTCCAGGATTAGTAAAATTTGGAAAGGGCTTTGTCCCTTGCTGAAATACATAAATGTCTGTTTACAGATACAATGAAGATTTGGAGCTTGAAGATGCCATTCATACAGCTATTTTAACACTAAAGGTGAGCAAAATATTTAAGAAAGAAGTTTCTTATGTTATGACTTCATTGATATGATCCACTGAACTGTATTTTTTTTAATAGGAGAGCTTTGAAGGGCAAATGACAGAAGACAACATTGAAGTTGGCATCTGTAATGAAGCTGGTTTTAGGAGGCTCACTCCAACTGAGGTTAAAGACTACTTGGCTGCAATAGCCTAGTAGAAACCAAGCAAGACTGTGTGGTTCACACAAAGGTCTTTTTAATTTTGGCTACTTAAATGTTTTTCTTTGCAGTTTTTGCATACTTATTTCTACATGGTTTGTCTGAGAGATTTTTTAAACATCATGGGTGCAAATACAACGGTCCTTAATATTGTAATACATGAAATCTTGTTAAAGATAATTCTTTCCCTTGATACACAAAATACTGTACAAAATGTAAAGTTATAGTGACAGCTTGAAAAAGGCTAAAGAATAAAATCGAAGGCCACTGTTTTGGGGGAAAGTGTCTGTGTGTCTTTTTAATCCTAGCTTGTTTATCTGCATAAAGCTTAGATTTCAGTATCTTTATTTTTGAGGAAACAGTTTTTCCCATACAGCCGTGATGGATTCATGTTAGACCTTCTAAAGAATTTAAATGTTGAGCGGACAGGATAATTTTTCACTTTGGAATATTGTTTAAATGTTAAGTAATTTCCAGAAATGGTTTTATCTGGTGTAAAAAATCATGTACTTTCACAAAGAGACAGAACAGTCTTCCATTTCAGGTATGAACTGCAATCTACTTGAGCCTCTCTGCTTTTGACCTTCTTCGTCTTTGTGTCACAAGAACTTGTTTTCCATTACTTGAGTTATTTTCGTGGCCCTAGAAATTGCACTTTTTCAACCCTGAAATATTGTTAGAAAAAATAACAGTAATAACTCTTGCTGAAAACTAAATGCATTTATCACCATCAATAAAAATCAACAGGAGTTACAAAACAGAATGAGAGTACGTAATGTAATGACTTTATCCCTTGAATTGTCCTCAAATATTTTCCAACTTGCAAGATAACTCTAAAGACAGGTGCAGAACTTGGATATTATTTGTGGGGGGTGTATGTATCAATACATTTGTTACATGTATAGAGTTGGTCAGGTCATAAGCACAGAATTTACTACAAAAGAAAGGATAAATATATGGTGGGGGGTTCAGCAGAAATAACCTGGTCTGCAGCCGTTTAAGTTACTGTTTGCAGATTTTATATTTTTTTAAAGCAATCTCATTGTTAAAATGTTGATAATGAACAAGGAGTGAGAGCTGCATCCCTCTGCTTGTGTGTCAACTGCATCCCTCTGCTTGTGTGTAAGCCTAAGGGTGGAGGGGAGCTGCCTGGCAGGCTACATGTCATCCAGCCATAACTGATGAAGGAAATACAAAGTATCAGTTAGTCTGCAGAAAGTAGCGTATAACCTAATTGACCTGTGTTTTCCAGTGTCTGTCTTCTGATGGTTCATGTTATCATCAGGTAAATAAGAGTTTCTGAAGCATGCCATAAATGAAATTTTATTTCCTAACGTCAGAAATAAAAGCTCTGTCCGAACAGTTCCTCCAGATCACTTTTTGAGTATTTGGCTCTGAAAACCAGTCCATACTCTGATCCTTATTCTAGAGAAAATTAAACAACTCGGAACTGAAACTGAAGACTTGATATTGCTGCATCTTCAGTTTAAAATATTTATACATAGTCGGTGTTTTAATGATATATAAATATTCAAAAGGGTTTTCTATATGAAAAAATGTAGGTAAGTACTTCAGAAAATGGTTAGCCTGAACTGCAGTAGTTTAATTGTCTCTGCTGCTAGAAACAGTTGATTAGCAAAGAACACCCTATGAAGGGTAGTTGAAACCAAAGCAAGTTACAAATAAATCATGCTTTCTCACTGCCAAGATGGCAACAGTGAGAGAAACAAAAATCTCTTGAGGTTTGGGGGCTGTGGTTTTGGTTTTTAAAAAATTGAGCACCTGCCATCTGGAGAATGTTACTAATTTACAGGTGGCAAAGGGAAGGGAAAAAACCCAGTATCATCCATAGTTTCCTGTGGTTTAAAGATTTAAAAGTAGTAACTGTTCTGTGCATTGTACAGAAGCTATTGTGTTCTGAATTAGGAAAATACTGTCTGTGAGATACCTGATAATAGGTATAAGTGTTGAGGGGGTGTGTCCCCACTCCCCCCCATCCTGCCAGGACAGGCAATCATTACAGCACGGGGCAATTTTAGCACTTCAGTACTTCAGAAGCGTTGCTGAGTTTACTTCATGTTGGACCAATGTTGCAAATGGGTGGCAGCATGAAGCTACTACATTTGTCAGATACTCCGAATGACCACCTCTAGTTGCCAGGTTGCTTCACTGAGTGCTTTTTAGGAATATAAACTGTTCGAATTGGTAAAATAATATTTGATTTATTTTTCAATGGTGGCACATTTTTCTTCTGAGGACAAATAGAAGTGTGCCTTGAAAAACATGAGAATACTATCACTAGGCTCCTCTTACAACAAAAAGCTTCAAAACGGTGAGCAGTTGTAACTTTCCTCTGAGAGTACTTTCCCTTTAGAGTGCTTTCCTCAGGCTGTCTCTCTGCAGTATGATATGGGAGCCCCAAGTCATAATTTCCATAGTAATGATTTATTGCTCCTTGCATAAAGTGGGATCAAGGGGCAGTAAAGCAGACAAATACTCTTTGTGAGAAATAACAAATTGCAGGTGAGATTATTTCAGCTAGCCATGAAGTGTGACTGCTTCGTTTAGCTTGTTCCTAATCTGAAAGAAGAAGAGACAGCAATCACTTAAAGCAGGTGATGTTGATTTGTTTGTCCTGCAAGATGGCCTGCTCCAAGGTAGAGCAGTGTGACACCTACGAGAATTGGGATTTATTAACTAGTAGGATCGGGCTCTGAGAACAGTATTATCATTTCATTAAGTTATTACTTTAAGTCACAGAGTCACAGGATGGGTCAGGTTGGAAGGGACCACACCCAGTCCAACCTCCCTGCTCAAGCAGCGTCATCCTAGAGCACATGGTACAAGATTGTGTCCAGACAGTTCCCCAGTATCTCCAGTGAGGGAGAGTGCACAACCCCTCTTTTACAGTGCACGGTCACTCACACAGTAAAGTACAGGTGCAGTAAGCCCCTTACAACTTACTTTGTCTTACTATTGCTTTCCAGATCTTGTGAAATCGTTTAGGCACTTACTCCCTGCAGGAACCAGCGATCAGAAGGCAAGTCTTTCCCATGCAGGTAGGGAATATTGCTGCATGGAGAGAGGCAAGACCATGGCTATGTCTGCTGCACGAAGGCGGGCAGCAACTTGGGGCAAGCATAAGGGACACTCGCTCACATTTAGCACAGAATCATTTTGTATGGGCTAGTTTTGTTGTTCAAGCTTCATGGATTCAATGGGCGTGGGTCCAGCGTGCACGGAGCCATGGCTGCTGTTTCTCTGCTGAAGTTGAAAGTCAAGGCCAAATTGTTTCTGGCCTGTCTGTTCCCACTCTACTCTGCACTGGTGAAGCCTCACCTTGAATATTGTGTGCAGTTTTGGTCACCACAGTATAAGAAAGATATTAAGCTGTTAGCATCCGAAGGACGCCAGCTTCCCCCTTCCTTGAGGTCACTTGGTCTGTTCAGCCTGGAGGAGACTGAGGGGAGACCTCAATGCAGTTTAACAACTTCTTTGTGAGGGAAAAAGGAGGGGCAGGCACTGATCTCTTCTCTGCGGGGACCAGTGACAGGACCATGGGAACGGCCTGAAGTTATGTCAGGAAAGGTTTAGGTTAGATATTAGGGAAAGGTTCTTCACCCAGAGGGTGGTTGGGCACTGGAACAGGCTCCACAGGTAAGTGCTTACAGCACCAAGCCTGACAGAGTTCAAGAAGTGTTTGGACAATACTCTCAGGCACATGGTGTGACTCCTGGGGATGGTCCTGTGTAGGACCAGGAGTTGGACTCGATGATCCTTGTTGGTCCCTTCCAACTCGGCATATTCTGTGACTCAGTGACTGTGTCTGACCTGACATATTGCCCTTGGCCCTTACAGGCTTTTCGGGACAAGCCGCGGGCACACTGGTGAGCGTGGCCAGGCCAGGCGGGCCGGGCGCGGCGGAGCGAGGCGGGTGGTGCCGTGTCCCCGCCCGGCGGCCCCGGGGGAGGTGCCGGCCGGGCCGAGCAGCCACACGCCACGCCGGCTCGGGGCGAGGGCTGTGGCCGCTGGGCTGTGAGTACGGGCTGCGGGGGCCGGGGAAAGGCGGCGGACCCGGGGGGAGGAAGCGGGGCCAGGAGCACCCGGAGAGGCGAGGCTGGCCCGGGCACATCGCGCCTCGGCAGTGACTGGGGGACGAGGGCGACAGTGGGGACAAGAGCCGGCGTCCGGCGGCGTCCCGCCGCCCGCCCTGCCGGGGCCAGAATGTGGGTGGAGGGCGAGCCTGGAGGGAGCCGGTGCCGCCGGGCCGGGGGCGAGCGCTAAGGGCGCTTTGCCCTCACCGAAGATGGCGCCGCGGCCTCCCCGGTGCTGCGGCCACGTGATGTCGGGGCGGGGGCGGGGAGGGGCGGCCGGTCTTGCCGGTCCCCGATCGGGAAACATCGGGCCCTGAGGGGAAAGGAGGGGGCAAAGAGGGGTCTGCGTGCGAACCTGTGGTTCGTAATGGGGCCACCGTGCAGTTGTCGTGCTGAAAAAGTATTTGGGTTTGTGGGTTTACTCTCACTGCAACCCTTGATGTTCGCTCCGTTTAAGTCTCAGTGTGCCTGGAGTAGGAGTTGTAGCTGCTCTGGGGAAAGGTGCCCAAGTGCTAACCGTGGGGGTTTACTCATGGATTTACACACGAGAATAAGCTTGTAAGAGAAGACTGGGGGGGAAAGGCTGATTGCTCTGTCTAAAGAGAGTCAGTAGGTCGGGTCGGAAGGCATTGGGCTTCTTGGTCATGCTGGATGTTGACTGGGCCAGTAGCAGCTAATTCTGTGTTTCCACTTGTGCGTAATGCAGGGGTGATTTCCACTCCTTGAAGTCAGGCTCCACTGCTACACTGGCAGAGCCTGTTGTAAGACCCAGGCCGTGTCCTGTTGCTCGTTTGTCTTGTCCTTTAACACCAGTTTGCTTCAACGTGCAGGTTAGGTAAGAATTATAGTGTTTATACTTGTAACTGGGAGTCAAAATGGATTAATTTCACTATTCACTATGGTTATTTACTGCCCGTCATTGTGCTGTTGTTTGCTGTGGCATGAATCCTACATTTTTCAAAGACAGCACGCATTCAGTGAAGTAATTCCTATCATACTTTACTTAAGGGAGGCATACTAAAATAATACAAATGCAAAGGAATAGATTTATCAGATGCAACACAGTACATCTCTTGGTAGAATTAGAAAGCATAGCAATTTCTAGGTTCTCCTGACTCTAGAATTGTGAATCATAGTCTTGTCGCGATGCCGTATAATAGAAACATACAATGGTTAAGGTTGGAAGGGACATTAAAGGTCATCTAGTTTCCCCCTACCATGGGCAGGGAAACCTTCCACTAGACCAGGTTGCTCAAAGCCCCATCAAACCTGGCCTGGAATACTTCCAGACATGGGACATCCACAGCTTCTCTGGGCAACTCGTTCCAGTCTCTGAGGGGCTAATCCACTGAGCTGAACAGTGCAGGTTGGAAGCTGGAGAGGATAGAGCCGTGCTCCCCAGAATTGTAAAGTGCAATGGGCTTCCTCTATGCTATGTTAAAATACTTGCTGGGAGTCAGACTTCACAGTTTTTATGTGTATCTGTGAGCTTGGTGGGTATCTTTTAATGATAACTGTGATGAGAGAGAGGCATTTACTTATGGCATTAATTGTATTTCTAATTTTACTCTGGATGGCAGCTTTTGCAAACGAGCTGTAAGAGTTAACATCTAAGTGACTGGTTCAGTGAAGGGCTCCTATGCAGAGAAGGAGGAGGGGGCATTGGAAAGAAACTACAAAACTGGAAGGTGTGTGTGGAGACCTGGATGCTGCTGTTCTTCCTAGATAAGAATTGAGGTTTTCTGAGTCTGTGGGTTGGATGTCCAAAGGTAAAGGAAAGGAATTGAACTCTTTGCTGGGACTTGTGCTGAGGTTCCAGATGCTTGTGCTTTACAATACTGGTAGCTGTTGCATGAAGTCTACCGCAAAGCTTGAGTATATGCTGTTGGAAAGACCTCTTTTCACAATCTTCTCTTTTGCTCTCACTTGATAGGAATAATGTTTCCAACATGTCTGTGCAGTCACTGCTTTGTGAAAGAATTGCTGTTGCCAAAGATTTGATCAAGAGAGCAGAAGCCCTTTCCAAGTCCCAGAAAAGGAGAATAGAAGGTGGGGCAAAACTATGTAGCAAACTGAAGGCTGAACTAAACTTCTTACACAAGGTGGAGGCAGGGAAAGTGGCCATTAAAGAGTCCCATCTGCAGAGTACAAACCTTACCCACCTCCAAGCCATTATTCAGTCAGCAGAGAATCTGGAGGATGTTGTCAGTGTCCTCCATGTCTTTGCTTATGAGGACAGGTTTGGAGACAAACAGACCCTGGTGGTAGATGTTGTTGCAAACGGAGGTCACACATGGGTGAAGGCCATCGGTCGGAAAGCTGAGGCTCTGCATAACATCTGGCTGGGGAGAGGCCAGTATGGTGACAAAAGTGTCATTGAGCAGGCAGAGGACTTCCTGCAAGCAAGCCGTCAGCAGCCGGTGGAGTACAGCAATCCCCACATCATCTTTGCGTTCTACAACAGCGTGTCCAGTCCTATGGCAGAGAGACTCAAGGAGATGGGAATATCTGTGAGAGGAGATATTGTTGCTGTGAACTCACTGGTGGAGCCATCTGCAGACAGCGAGCACCCTAGCACCAGTGAATCAGATGAAGAAGGCCCTGAACTCCTGCAGGTGACCAGAGTGGACCGGGAGAATTTAGTGGCCAGCATTGCTTTTCCTACTCAGATCAAAGTAAATGTCTGCAATAGAGTGAACTTGGACATCACTACCTTAATAACCTATGTCTCTGCTCTGAGCTATGGAGGCTGCTACTTCGTCTTCAAAGAAAAAGTGCTGACAGAGCAAGCAGCCCAAGAAAGGAGGGAGAGAGTGCTGCCTCAGCTGGAGGAGTTCATGGAGGGAAAAGAGCTCTTTGCCTGCGAATCTGCTGTCAGAGATTTTCAGTCCATCTTGGAAACGCTGGGAGGACCTGGGGAGAAAGAGCGAGCTGCATTGCTTGTTAAAAGGGTTACCGTGGTACCAGATCAGCCATCTGAGCGTGCCTTAGGACTAGTGGCTAGTTCAAAAATCAACAGCCGTTCTCTAACCATTTTTGGGACAGGAGACACTTTGAAAGCCATCACCATGACCGCAAATAGTGGGTTTGTGAGGGCAGCGGCAAACCAAGGCGTCAGGTTCAGCGTTTTTGTCCATCAGCCACGAGCATTGACAGAAAGCAAAGAATCTGCTGCCACACCTTTACCAAAGAGCTGCCCATCTGATAATGGACTATAAGTCATTAAATCAGTTAGTCATGGAAATACTGTAGGTACTGCAGTGGAGGCTTTTTGAGAAACAGAAGAATCATAGCAATACAGTTTTGGGTGTGTATCAGTGATGACAGTAAATGTAGCAGTGGAAGAACTCCTCGAGGGATTTGCAATATCTTCACTCATTCCTTGGGGGTTTTTTTGTTCAGCTGACCATTAATTTATTCACTAAAGTAATAAGATGTCAATGAAAATTGTTAACTGGCTTACAGTATATTAATTGTATCCATCCCTATTAAAAAGTTCAGTTAAAGCACAGTTACTATTGTGCCCTTGTCATTTTTGTCCTCTACAGAGAGGTAAGATCCATCATAGATGAACTTTGGGCTTGACTTCTGTGGAACTTAAATATTTCTTTCACCTATCCTATTTGACTGAATTCTTTGTTGATTCAGAGGTACCTTGCATAGACACCTGTGCCTTTTTGGTATATGATGTTTTATGAAGACGTGACTAGTAGCCATGAATAGAAACCAACTTAAGCCTTCTTTCTCTTACTGAAAGGAACCTCTATATGTATACCATGTTAGACTGAATTGGGCAACAACTTTAAAATTCCTGGAAAAATCAGTTGAAATCAGAGTTTATTTGCATTAACATGTGACTCTTGGGCTAAACTTGACAGCCAGTGGTAGCAGACCAAGGATGCAAATCTGATTCCCTTTTCTCCTAGTCTTTGACCAAATGCAAAGTCTTGCTGGGTGCAATGCCCAGCTCGAGATAACAGAATCCTCCTAAACTGAGCCAGCACCCAGGTGGTTTTTGATACTAGTCTGCTATCTGCTGAGGACTCACAGTGAACTTGAGTCTCTCTTTGTTGCATGTGGATTACCTGAAACAAAGCCTCAGTGAGGTCCTTTAGTGTTGGTGTGGCAGATGAGGAGGTTTGCGGGGTATGTTGTTAAATCCTAGCTTGCTCTATAGCAGAGAGAAGCCTTTTCACTGGTGTTGTAATTGCTGAATTTATTCAAAGTGTAGAATAAACAATTCCTTTTTTTGTCTTTTTTCTTTTTTTTTCTTTCCCCAGGAGAGTTTTGCTGTTTTAGAAGTGTTTCTCATGTTTTTTCCTGAATGCTGTAATGACAGCACTTGCTCTTTGGTATTAATTTGCATCAGTTTCCTAGTGGAAAATTTTGAGATGTCAGAGTGAGCCTCTCGGCCCTGAGCTATACATTTTTATCAGGTCAGTGAAAGAGATAACCACTGAATATTTTATAGGCTGTTGTTTCAACATGATAGCATTGTTATGTAGCTTATGGTTCAGGCAAAGAACATTCTCTTGCCTCCTTCCCTCCACTCTAAACCTGTTCCTACAGCACAGTGTGGCTGCAGTGCTGCCCTTAGCCATGGCCTCCACTCATTACTTTCTGGTCCCCAACAGTGATGTAAAGATACTGGTGTGCCCACAAAACCACTCTGCCAGCCTCATCTAGCTGAATAAGCTGAACTCCAAGGAGCAAAAGTGTGCTTCTTGTCCATGTGACTTGCTCTGCTCTTACTATGCCCGTAAACTCTTAGTGGTTGTCACCAGTAACCACATGCTGCATAGCTTTACCTTAAACTTTTAACAATGCAGAGGGCAGTCTGCTCTCTACCTGCCCCTTGTTTCTGTGGGTTGCTGAAGTAGTACATGGGGTTTAATTAAGATGAGCGGAACTGGATTTGGGTTTTTTGCGGCTTCAGCATCCGCTGTACTTACTACCTGCCAATTTCACAGTTCCTCCGTGGTGAGTTCCAACAAAACATCTACTTTGTTCCCACAGTCTAACACAGTGTAATGAAACCTCCTGGCAGGATACAACCCCTACTGTATCCACTAATTTTCTTGAAACTTCTTCTGAGGGGAAAGGAGGACCAACACAATGAAACAATATAAATAATATGTTGGCTTTGCTGCAGAAATGCAAGTCTACCTTAGGAGTTAACAACATACAGGAGCTCAGGGAGGCATCATGGTATGATGGATTTACCAGAGCACAACCACAGATGTCTATGAAATGTTAGAAACAGCTGGAAGGAAAGTGCCTTTCATTCCTATCATGAGACCTCTTGCTCTGGCCACATGTATGATGGCTCTCCTCTCCAGTAGATGTGGGAATAGAGGTGGGGAAGGTCATCTGTCCAAGAGAAAAAGAACTGTGTTTCTGTTTTGTATCAAGTCCTGAAAGAAGATACAAGAAACCTCCTAGTGAATAATTTATGACCAAACAGCCTGGGAGAGAGGGTTTCTTTTTGTTTGCAACTCAGACCTGTAAAAGTTGAGGTCCCAACAGATAGCTTACTATTTAATAGAATCATAGAAACAGAAAATATTAAGGGGTTGGAATGGACCATAAAGATCATCTAGTCCCAACCCCCCTGCCATGGCAGGGACACTTCCACTAGACCAGGTCACTCAAGGCCTTGAACAAGTCTAGCTTGGCCCTGAACACTGCCAGGGTTGGGGCATCCACAGCCTCCCTGGGCAATCTGTTCATGTGGCTAACCACCCTCACATTAAAAAATTTCTTCCTAATATCTATCCTACATTTCGCCTCTTTCAATTTGTACAGTTCCTGACGGAGTCCCTCTCCAGCTTTCCTGTTTCCCCTTCAGATACTGGAAGGTTGCTATGTCTCCGTGCAACCTTCTCTTCTCCAGGCTGAACACCTCAACTTTCTCACCTTCTCTTCATAGGGGAGGGGCTCCAGTCCTTTTACCAAGCCCTCCTCTGGATTTGCTCCAAGAGTTCCATGTCCTTCTTATGATGGGGACACCAGAGCTGCACACACTACTCCAGGTGGCGTCTTAGAAGAGCAGAGTATAGGGGGAGAATCACCCTGTTCGGTTGTGAAGGAAGTTCCTTCCTTTATTAGTTCCTTTCCTCTTCTTTTGTTATTTTTGTGGGGTTTTGTTTTTTTGTTTGTTTGGGGTTTTTTGTTGTTGTTGTTGTTGTTGTTTTTTTGGGGGGGGGGATTTGCCCACTACTTCCCAAGCCTGTGTTAATGCCCTCCCTGCATTTCCTGCAGCTTGATCACCTGTTTCTGGAGGTCTTCCACCAGGGCACCTACTCCTTGACCTCTCCACATTTTCTTTCAGCTGTGCCACCAGGTTGAGCAGATTGTCAGCCTGTTCACACCTCAGACAGATACTGTCTCCACTGTCCTCTGGCATCAGCCACAAGCTCAGACAGTCACTGCAGCTGGAGACCTGGACAACTGCATGGTGCTGTGTGAGGTCCATCTGGCTCATCATGTTCCTTCTGAAAGTGGCTTTTGACAGAGCTGAAAGCACAGTTAGTCCTCTTCTAGTCACTCCCAAAGTTTTTTCCCCTATCTTTGCACCCTGTCTGGCAAACTGCCTGCGCCACACCCTGTTTGCCAGCCTGGGTCTCTCATGTTCCCTGAAGCTGTTTAAATCTCCCTCAGTGCTCCTGGAAATGCCCCCTCTTCACCAATGACTTATCACTGATTAATCTGTTTTACAATATTACAGGGTATATTCGAAGCTAGGTGCATGGTAACAGTGCACTTACGCATGATAATTCATTATGACCTTTTAAGAACTAATCCTTTGTATTTAAGTTAATTTGCTTGCAGCCTTTTTAAAGTGATGAGGACTTTGGATGAATAAATGGGAGACAGCTGCTTCCTTCTGCTTCTCACTGTGACTCGAGAAGTGGGTTTCCATCAATTTCCTTGTAGTATTCCATTTAGCAATCTTGACTATCCTCTTGTGCACTCTCTAAGGAATTTTCTCCAAACCATGGATGAGAGGGCAGTGGCTTGGATTTGTACATGGTAGGTGACCCAGGAAAAGCTGTGAAAAGCCAGTAACCTCTCTATTACCGGGATTAGGAGTGGGTGAGCTCTGTTTGCTGTATTCCTTCAGCCCTACTGCTGCAGAGCTGGCTGACTTGTTTTGTAGTGATACTTTTGTATGACTAGTAAGTGCAACTTTGTTTAAAAGCCTCTGTATCTGGAGCCATCGTGTGGTGATTTTCGTCATTACCAGTCATTTTTGCCCAATGCGCTATTTGTTATTGAATCAATTTTCTCTTTTACTAATTTCTGCCAATCATATGAGCATTATTTTAGGAATATGAAACTCTTCCTGCATGCCCCTGTGCAACTTAAGGGTTCTATTGTTATTTTCTGTCTCCCTGTTGCATTTTGCAATAAAAAAACTCAGAATGCGGATTTTTTTTTTCTCCTCCGGTGGTTATCTGGCTTATCAGTCAAACAGAAGTGTGATGTTGACAGGCTGTAAAAATTATTTTATAAGATGAAACCCAAAACTGAATGCTGGCTTGGAGAAAAAATGTGTAATATTTGATGGCTTGTATACTACCTTTGAATATACTGGTGATCTACATGTATAAACCAGTGTTCTGGTTTGTTGCATTTAGATATCTTCTACTTAATTTCACAAATAGGGGATTAGACATAGAACTTCCCTTATTTATGACTTTCCAAATGAGTAATTAGAAAATACAAAATTATGTTTGCAATTAAGTTGAAAAAAATGAAAACCTAAGACTGCTTATCCTTTCTTCCAGTATCACACAACTGCTTTGTCTATGCTACACCAGGCATTAGAGGATCTGGAGACATCTCATTTGCTGCTATGGATTTTGTTTGGGGTTTTTTCAGTTAAAGTTTTCAGTATTAAGTTCTTTTGCAAAGATGGATTCCTAAACTGTTTCAGGGAACCTTGTTCTTCTGACACTTTAAATTTATTTTACGTTATCTCTGTATGGTTCTATAGTCTCTGAGGAGAGCCAGCATCTCTGTTCTGTGCAGTGCTCAGCCTGCTCTATTTGCTCCAACAGTAAGAATAGCAAAAAGGAATGCTGCAATTGATGCCAGACAGTAGAAAGCACTTGGATATTATGTGATAAATAAATCAATAAGTTAAGTTGTTAGTACATTCATGTTTCTGTATATGTTCGTTACTTGCTATTGCTCTGTCTGACAAAACTTGCAGATCAATGACTTGTTTGTCATTGTACTTGCAAGCTGTGAAAACAGTCAGAGGTAGTTTTTGGGTGTTGTAGCCACTGTTGTGTAAAACTGTTATTCATTGGTAGTTTAATGGCCTAAATAGTAGTTTGTGTTTTGAACTGCCCCTCTCATCTGATGATACCGTCTGGAGACTGTCTGAAAATATTTTCACGACCCTGCCCCTAGTTCCTGCAAACTGAAGGTAGGCTTGGTCACAGCAGTAATAAAATAAGAAAACATAAGCATCAGTTGTTTGGAATGTGTTTGAGAGGAGACCTATAAAAAAATATCCTAAAATCTTTTTAATCTTTTTTGTTAAAGTGGACCAAGAAAAGGATTACAATAATGACGAAGCATGTATAGTTGCAGTGACATTCTTTATTTCAGGTTATTGTGCAAGCAAAACAGCACAGGTCACCTGGTATCTAATTAATCTGGTAAAGTAAGGAAGAATTAGGTGGAGTTCTTTAACTGAAGGTTATGGTTACACTTTTCCTGCAAGTTGTACTTCTAGGAACAGCTCTGCCATCTAGCTTGCTACAGGCACCTCACGTGTGCTCTTGGTGATGAAATCACCTCTGTAGATACGTGGATGTTGCTTTTCCATCAAGTTTTAATGTTGCAATTTATTCTAGAGTAAAAACAAAGAAAGTGAACGTAAAACTACTACACTGCTCAGAATTGCGATTTTGGCGTTTTGCAAATTGTTTCCTATCAATGCATGGAAATCAAGATTGTTCCTGTATAAACTATTGTAAAGAACAAATAAACAACCTCCCCCTCCACACACACTTTCATTGTTGAGAAGATCCTTGTGTAAATTTAAAAGATCCTCGCTTATAATGTCTTACATAAGAGATTAATCTCTTAATAAAAAAAAAAAAAAAAAAACAAACCTCAAACCAACAAAATATATACCACCCCAACCTCCCCCAAATCCCCAAAGGGATTAACAACATCTGATAATGAATCTGTGCCCCTTTATTTATTAATGAGACTGAGTACATGCTAAAGCAACT